AAATTGTCAAATTTATTTCAAAAAGGATTTTTGTAATATGCTTTCTGTATCCTTTTAATTCTGTAAAATCTGTAGCAATGTCTCCTAGATCTTGATATTGTAATTTTAAAAATGTATAATTGATATTGTGTAATAGAAAGAAAATATTTAAAGGAATAGGGGAAGTGGGAGGGGTAGGGGAAAGGAAAGAAGGGAAAAGAAAAATATATGAGAAAAGAAAAAAATGGAAACAAAGTCTTTGCAAATAGGGAAAGGTGGAGGAGGGGGTGAAGGGAGGGCAGGGGAATGGGAAAAAATAAGAACCAAGATACATCATGTAAAGGCACAAGATTCTAATGATGGATGTAACTGTATTTTATTCCTAAAATGTACCACTAAACTCAATGGGGAAAAAAGAAACAAAGTAAGAGCAGGGCACTTACTGTACACACTGATTTCCAAGACCAGCTCCCTGGTGGTTGTCCCTTCTAATCAGATTATTGGCCCTAAACTCCCCCTACTGTAGATAGAAATCCTGGGATCACCCTGGACAGAGTCTTGGCCTCCATGAGCTTGAATCCAGCAGCAGAAACACACACACACACACACACACACACACACACACACACACACCCCTACTTCTATTATTTACTATGACAGAGGAACTTGTCAAGTGATACGAGTACACACATAGGAAGAAATAAAGAATTCTCCATTTGGAGGTTAAAGGAGCAACAAAAAAATGTGACGTCTGAGGGATGGAAAAGCATTCTGGGCAGAGAACTGCAAGAGAAAAGGTTTGTAGTGACAAAACAGAAGCCAGGCAAGTAATGAGTGAGGAAAGTAGGGCAGGCCAGGGTGCAACACAACAGACAGCCATATAGCCTGTGTAGACAGGGAGCACATGCTCTGTTGCCAAGGTGGAGCCTCTACTTGGCATCCTCTGACTGTCAGGGCCGTGGAAAGTAGGGCCAATCAAATTACAGAACATTTGATTTCTTTAGAGAAGCTGGAGATCATTTTTGGCATCTAGATCCAAATAAATTTAAACATGATGTGAACCAAACAAAAACACCCATAAGAAGGCTGAGGTGTAGCTCAGTGAGAGAGCCCTTGCTTAGCATGAGCAAGGCCCTGGGTTACATCCCCAGCACCACACACACACACACACACACACACACACACACAAAGACATTCAGCCTGAGGGTGGCCAGTCAGCTAGTAGAGCTACAGCTTTGAGTGACCTAGGAGCCTGGCTGGAGAGTGAGTCTTGAGAATCAGTCTGTACTGAAGAGGCAAACTTGCAGGCAAAAGAGTTGGGAATTCCCTTTGTGGCATTTGAGGAGAGGGATGTCACTTAAGCTGGGCTGTGAAATAATTAGATTTGTGCATTGGAAAAGATCTGTTTCGTGGAGAGTGGATCTTTAGAACCAATTTGAAAAGACGTTGCTATAAACAGTGTAAGGGACTCAAAATAGGTGGAGGTGTGTTGGGGGCGGGGTTAGACCTAAGAGATGTTTTACAATCTACTAATTTCATGGCTAGCCAGTGGGATGGAGGAACTAGGGGTGCTAGATACAAGAAAGGGAGATGTCAAGACTAAGTACTTTTAGCACCCATCTCTCACTTTTTTTTTTTTTTTGTACCGGGGATCAAACTCGGGACCTTGCACTTGCAAGGCAGGCAGCAGAACCACTGAGCTAAATCTCTGGCCCATCTCTCACTTTTTTTGACAGGCATGGGAACAATAGGTAGGTGGGACCAAGTACAAAAGGAAAAAAGAGTATTCTAGCTCAGGATTTCTTAACTTTGGGCACTAATGTCATTTTGAACAGGATAAACCTTTGTTGTCGGTGTTGCTCCAGTGCCTCCTAGGATGTTTAGCCACACTCCTGGCTTCTACCCATTAGATGCCAGGAGCATCCCTCCCCCACCAGTCATTACAACCAAACATATCCCCAGACATTGCCAAATGTCCCCTGAGAAGCAAAATTGCCCCTGCTTGGGAGCCATTGCTTTCGAGTCAGAAGGAGGGAAATTCCCCTGTTGGTGACTTCCCCTTTTTCTTTGCATTGCAGTGGAGTGAGGATCTGTTCGGATTTTGCTTAATAAAAGGTAGAGGCCCTTTGTGAGATTTGCACCTAAGAGATGGGCATTTTCAGCTAAGCCTGTGATATATGCTGGTGTCCACGTCCATTCTGAATTCATGGGGGATATTTCTCACTGGCTAGAAGGAGAGCTGACCATTCTCTCCTGTCGGACATTTTCTTGTTCCTGCTTCTTTCCACCTGCAAAAGGGGCAAGCCTTAGTGAGCAGTGTAAAGGGAGAAACTGAAGTACACAGGACAGCCAGCTCCAGCCATGCAGGGCCAAAGCCACAGAGGTGACTGGTGGTCTCACACCCAAGTTATCAGGGCTCTAAGGGTTAAGCTACAACTTGATGTTGCCTCGTCATGATTTGGATTACTCAAAGCCAAACGGAGAGTTTTGTGTTTATTTCGGTTCCTGGAAAGCCTTCCATTTGTCTCCACTTTTCCTGCATACCAGAAGAGTGGCCTAATTCAATCTAAGATGCTCTTTGAATAAGAGTACACAGGGATTACAAATAATGGTTTCTTGTTGAAGAAACAGCATTCCTAACCCTCTCCAACCCCTTCAGCAAAATTTACAAATTGTTGTTAGATGTTTAGGATGGGAAGGAAAGGGAACTAACTGTACAGTCTTATGGACAATAGGCCAGAATTCTCTTGGTGAAAGGAAATCAGGTCCCTCCTCAGCCCTCGCTGTCCTTTGTCTTTTTCCTTACAATGCTGATATTCTCCAGGCCTTTTCTGGAGGTTAATGACAAGTCACAACCGTATTTTCCTAATCATGCGCTACTGCTACTGTTCATTTTACTAAGCACTCAGTCTGTGCCAGCCAGTGCTCATGATGGCACTCTGCCAGTCCCCAGCAGCTCCTTTTCCAACTGGACACTCCTTAAAAGGCAGATGGCATGATCGTTTGGAAATGTTATTATAAACTTATTGTATAATGTTTATAGCAAATTTCAACAAGGGTATATGTCTGTGGTGATGGGAGAGGAAGGCTTTGGGTTTAAGAGTCACCAACCTATTTGCAGAGAGATTTAACAATAATAGTAATATCTCTCAGTTCTATAGGCTTTGATAGTTTCCAAAGTGTTTTCATAAACATTATTTCATTCAAATATATATATGGATTTATGGTGAACCTTTTACTGCCAGGATCAATATTCTGAGATTCAGTACAGGTAGGCTCTTCTAAAAGCCTTGCTTGCCCCTTCCCACACTTAACAACCCTTCTTTGGATCCCACAATTTCATGTCCTTGCCCTTGTGATAGCGCCTCAAATTGCTTGCAGCTCTTTGTTAGCAAGCATGCTCTGCTTTGCTCTTTTTCTTTTCCTTTTTGTTCTGGAGCTGGAACTCAGAGCCTTGCTCATGCTAAGTACATGCTTTACCATGGAGTAACTCCTCCAGAAAGGTCTGCTTTTAATGATTGTCATTCATAATTCCTTGAAGGTCTTCATAAATATTTATTTTGTTTTGGCTAGGTCAGTCGTGGTAAACCTATGGCACGTGTGCCACAGTTGGGCTGTTCGCATCACTGAAAGCTCTAAAAGGTTTGCCATCACTGGGCTGGGTGCTACCCTTTGCCATCACTGATGCCCTTTGGATGAGTCTGAGACTAGGTATATTATCAACTTTTTTATTGATGTATTTTTACAACTGCTTTCAGGTGTATTAATTGGTGGCTTGATTTGATCAAAATGCACTGCCATTGGTGAGTCCCGTCCATCCATCCTAGAAGATGTCTTCTAGAGGGGAGAGTGATGGAGTAACGCTTCTTTCAATGATACCCACACCCTAATCCTCAACACCCATGGATGTGCTGCCTTACACAGCCAAATGACTGCACATGTGATCAAATCCGGGCTTCTGAGATGGGGGGATTATTGTGGATTATCTGGGAGGTTGGGCATAAGCACCTTTTTAAAGGAAAAGTGGAGGCAGGAAGAGCAGAGCTGTAGAGGTAAGACCAGGGAAGCAAGTACAGTGGTACAGCAACACGACAAGGGATGTGAGCAGTCTTTCGAAGACTGCGAAGTCAGGAAACAGATTCTCTCCTAGATTCTCCAAAAGGATACAGCTCTGCCCACACCGTGGTTTTAGCTCTGTGAGACTTCCAACCTCTGGAACTGTGACATAACTGTTTTACGTCACGAAACATGTGGTAATTTGCTACAGCAGTAGTAGGAAACTTACAAGGGTTCTCATTTACCCTTTCCCCAACCTCACTAGCCCTCACAGGCACCCACTTTCATGTATGCAGTGTGTAGCCTTCCTACTCATTCTATGCTTTCAGTATATCCTTGCAAAATATGTAGGAAGTTGGTTATGTGATTTTAGAAATTCAAGTACATAGTATAGTACTGTCCCTCATATTTGGAATGTTGCTTTTATATCCTACCCAATATAAGGTGTACTAGCTTTCAGACATACCAGTTGTCCTTTTCATAAAGCACAGTATCACGGAGCCCCTATGTGGACTTTCGAGTTGACCCAGTGAAGTAGAGCTGGTATTACTAACCCTGGAGTCAGAGCTTAGGAAATAAAGGCTCAGAGGCCAAGGGCTGGTAGCCAGGTTTCCAGGATCCCAGGCCAAGGTTCTTTCCCTAGGATCCTGCCCTAGTGCTCAACAGGGCACAATCCTTGGCGTCTCCGAGGCCGGCCAAGTGTGCGCCCAGCAGCGACGACGAGGGCGGTGCTAACTCCACGGCGCAGGGGGCGGGTGCCGGCAGACACTTGAGCGGACCGGGACTTGGTCCGGGAAGTTACTGTTGGGTTGGGACGGCAGGGCTCGGGAGCGCAGGCCGCGAGGCCAGGTGTCGCGCCGTGGGAGCGCGGAGCCAGCGGGGCCCGCCCCAGCTCGCCGGCTCAGGTTATCGGCGGCCCTGGGCGGGGCTGCCCTTCCCGTCTGCGCCGGCCCCCAGCCTCCCAGGCGGCAGAGCCGGGAAGTGGGAGAGGGAGCGAAATAGGCGGAGACAGCCCAGGCTCCAGCCTGGCCAGGCTCCGAGGCGAGGGGCTGTATGGAGCTGTCGGCGGGGCTCTGCGGGCTGTGGGCGCTGCTGCTCTGCGCCGGCGCCGACAGGGTCGCCGCGCCCCCAAGTGAGTGAGCTGCGGAGCCCGGGCGTGGCCGGAGGGCAGGGGGTCCCAGTGAAAGGTCAGCGAGGAGGGACACCGCGGGGCCGGGGGCGCGGCGAGGGTGGGCGCTGGGGGCTGTCCTCGCCACGCTCCGCGCTTGGCTACCAAAGCCTCGAGCTGGCGCTCGTGCTCCTTTCGAGGTGGGGGACCCGGGAGTGGCGGGGTTTTCCCCGGCGCGGCGACGGTAGCGGAGCAGGAGGTCTAAGGCTTGCTGTCCCACTTCCTTTGCGCGGTCGGGAAGAGCCAAGAGGCTGGAGCCCGGGGGCGGGACCGAAACATGCCAATGGCTTCGGCTGTGAACCCAAGAAGGGATGAGGGACCAGCTGGGCTGGCGACCCAAGTCTGAGCGAGACACAAACTTCACGAGCTCTTTGCCCAGAGCCGCGCCAATCAGCACTAAAAAAGTGTACCTTTTGGTGTAGACGTTGAAGGGAAGCTCTGAAGATGTCAGTCTCTGAATTAAAAAGGACTTAAGGGTCACAGACTTCTCTGGCGTCCATCAAATCCCCTGGGAAACGGAGCAGCATCTGGGCAGATACTCTCCCTCTTTAATGAACTTTATGTTTAGGGATAATCTCAGATTTATGGAAAAGTTGCAGAGATTGATCAGAAAGTTCTTCTATCTCTCTCACCCCTGTGTGGCCCCTTTGAATTAGTCAACCCTACAGAATTGCTACGAAAATTGAGGGTTAATGATTTCCTCATGGGCTGCTCCTGGCATGGGTGATCCTCTGAACATTTTGAGTAACAATGATAGCTCCAAATTTTATAGGTTTTATTACCACATTTGAGCAGACACCAACAGTTTGCTTGTTACATTTTTATCAGTGTGCTTTGAAACCAGAGTTGAACTGTTAATTAGGAAATCTTACCGTCATCTGTTGATTTAGTCAACAAAATGTATGTAGTCTGCTCTGTCCCAGGCCGTGTTTTAGGAACTGAGAATGCTACAGTGAGCGAACAGATCAAGTTCCTGCACTGTGGAGCTACTCCTAGCAGAATCTGAGAGAGGAGAAAATAATAAAATATATGACATGTCGGATAGTACCAAGTACTATGGAGAGAAACCAAAGCAGGGAAGGAGTTTGCCATTGTAAATGGGATGGAGTGGAAAGACCTCACTTAGAAGGTGACTTGTGTGGGGGTTTTTGTTTTTGTTGTTTTGCAGTGCTGGAGATGGAATCCAGGGCCTCAAACATGCTAGGCAAGTGCTCTACCACTGAGCTACACCCCTGGGTTTCAAGTATCTGCTATATATTTAGGTCTCCAGAGTCCCTCAAGTTCAACTGGGGACACCTGACTTCCATAAGCATATGGGGAAACTGCAATCCAGAGAAGGGAAGGGAGTTGTCTGAGGTCACCCATCTCATTAGTCTCCTGATTTTCATAGTGTCTGTCCCATACTCTCCCTCCTACAGACTCCCTCTCTCACACCGGAAACAACAGCAGGCCTTCTAGGCAATGCTGGCAGCCCCCCACTTAATCAGATTTGTCAGGATGGTTTGATGATAACTTGGTTACTTAGTATACAGAAACTTTCTTTCCATTAGATACAGTGGACCTTTGACTTATGAACTCCATGGGTTGGTTTCCAGGGTTGGTTGTAACTAAGTCAATACAAGTGAGATCTGGATGTTTACCTGGGTACACCCTATGGAAAACAAGAGGCAGATGAATCTTCCATTAACCTAATTAACCCAAGTTGTTCATATGTCATGCCAGTCGTAACTTGAGGGTCCACTGTATATTGATAGAATTGCATTGAGATATGATGGGAAGGAATTTAATACCTCTAGTTGCCAGACTTGAGTTTTAGTGGTCCCAATACTTACCAGCTGTGAGCCTTCAGGCTAGTAATTTCCCCCTTCCTTGTGCTGCAGTTTTCTCATCAGTGAAATTAACTTGCACTCCCTAAGTTCTAAAAGCTCTTCCAGTTCTGATCCTCTGAGTATTTGAAAATGATTAAGCTACCAGCTTTGTTTAGAGTCTGTTTAGCTCACTAATCCACAATGTGGCATTTCTTGATAACTGCTAGTATTTATGTACTGTTTATGCCCAGCAGTTTTCTAAGTGCTTTGCTTCTATTTTATTTAATCTTTTGTGTTATTTGGTTTTGGTTTTTGGATTGAGACAGGGTCTCAGCTCATAGCCTAGGCTGGTCTTGAACATTCTATGTAGTCTGGGCTGACCTCGAACTTTTCATCTTCCTGCCTTGACCTGCCAAGTGCTGGGAGTACAGGAATGTGCCACACCGTGCTCTTTGATTTACTCTTACAAACAGCCTAAGCCAGTGGTGGCCAACCTATTGCATGTGTGCGGTAGTAGGCTGTTTGTATCACTGAAAGCTCTAAAATGTTCACCATCACTGGCCTAAGCTGGTTACATTTTGGATATGAGGAAGCTGAGGCACAGTGAGGCTAAGACTGTGGTTCAAATAGATTGGAGGAGCCAGGCTTCCAACCCCAGCAGCCTGATTTCAGAGGCCATGCCCTTAACCAAGGTACACATTGCCTCTCTCAGCCCAAGTGAAGGGAGTCCTTGGCTTACGGAGGATCTGGGTGGCTCCCAGGGTAGCAGGGCAGGGCTGGTTGGGACCCATGAACCCAGACTACTTGTTAAGAAACAAATGATCAAATATTGGAGACTGGCTTTATAATGGCCAGACTGTGTAGTCCAAAGAGTAAATACTACAGGTATTCAGCAGAGAGGAAACTGTTAGAGCTGGTAGTTTCACAGAAGAGGTGTAACTTGAGCTTGACCTTCAAGATGGGTGGAATTTGAATAGGTAGAGAAGTGATTCCTGCTGGGAGGAAGATAGCAGGAGCAGAGACCCAGATGTGAAGGTGAGAATGCTCCTTTGTGTAAGGAGCTTGGCTTGGCAGAAGAGCTTATTTACCTTTGAAGGCCCCCAGAAGGGTGTTGCTTGAGGGAAATGACACTGGAAGAGAAGCAAGCAGGAGGAAGGAGAAGGGAAGCAAACAGGCAGGAGGAAGAGAAGGAGAGCCATTGGAATGCAAAGCGCCACAGGACCTGGAGGTGCAGGTCTCTAGCACCATGATGTGCTTTGTACACCTCCCATCCGGGCCCATGTCTTCGTGGTATCTGCCTTCCTTGTGGGGCTCCACAGAGCATATCAGTGTGATGGAGGTGATTAAGAAAGATGTTGCAAAACAGCAGAGACAAGAATTGATGACTGAGTGAATGTGACGTAAGGAGAAGGATGACTCATATATGACTCTGAGTATATTCTTAAGTTTTCTCGAAATGCCTTTGCCTCTGCCAGCTCCTGTGATTATAGGAGAGAGCAAAAGCTATAAGCTAAGTAAAATGCTTTGTACCTGTTCCATGAAACTACCAACCCTCACAATTTCCTCGCTTTTGAACACCTATAGTATTTATTGTTTGAACTACACAGTCTGGACAAGAATAATGATTGTATTAACTCCTCATTCATACAGGATATGGTGCTAAATGGCTAGACAGGCTCATTTGGGGTTTGCAGCTTAGCTAGTGTAGATATGTGGGTCCCTTCCTCCTTCCCACTTCCCTTTCTGAAGTCAGGGATGAGCCCCTAAGAATTGCTGAAAACAGATGCCTAAGGAAGGTCAAAGGGATACTTGTTTATCTCAAAGGCCATGGGTATATAACAGTTTCATAGAAAATCAAAGCAAGTGTTTACAACCATTTTGTCCCTTAGAAAAAGAAAATAGCTAACATTGATGTAGCACTTGCTCTGTGTGCACAGTGTCCTAAGCATTTTGCCTGTATTAGCTCATTTAATCCTCATAATAACCTTTTGAAACAGGATACTTATCCTCATGTTACTGGTGAGCAAACTGAGAAATAGAGTGGTTAAGTAACTTGCCAGTTAGTAAGTAGCAGAACTGAGATATGAACTTGGGCAGCAGTCTGGTTCCAGTCTAGTCTCCTAAATACTACACACTACACTGAAATTAAGCATCAAGGGCTGTTAGAGACATTTACAAGAAGTACAGTCACCACTTATTATGTATATGTCTGGGTACACACACAATTCACATCTCTTCATATATATTTAAACATGTGGAATTATATTTTAAGTTTTAGAGAGTATTATTTTTTTGTGGCAAAATACAGATGGTCCCCAACTTAATGATGATTTTATTTACAATTTTTCAACTTTACCATGGTGGGAAAAACAATATACTTCAATAGAAACTGTAATTTAAATTTTGAATTTTGATCTTTTAAATAAATTACATGAGCTATTCAACATTTTGACTGTGGAAGCTTCTGTATGCTAATGTAAGTTATTTGAGCATGTTTAAGGTAGTCTGGCTAAGCTATCATGTTCAGCAGGTTAGGTATATTAAACATATTTCCTTTTTCTTTTTAAGAGTTGGGACCCTGCTGTGTTGCCAAGGCTGGCCTTGAACTCCTGGGCTCAAGTGATCCTCCCACCTCAGTCTTCTGAGTAGCTGGAACTATAGGCGTGAACCAACATGCCTACCAGAAAATGTAGTTTTGACTTACAGAATTTTCAAGTTATGATGAGTTTATTGAAACATAACCTCACTGCAAGTTGAGAAGTAACTAAAAACACAAAATTTACCAATCCACACATTTATAAGTATACAGTTTAATGTTACATTCATAATGTTTGGCAATCATCACCATCATCCATCTTCATAACTCTTTGTCTCATCAAAACTGTTAGTCTATACTCATTAAACAATAACTTCCCATTCCCAATTCCTCTTGCCCTGGTAACTACTATTCAACTTTCTGTTTCCATAATTTGGACTATTCTAAGGGCTTCATATAAGTGGAATTATACAGTATTTGCTTTACAATTGATTGATTTCACTTAGCAAAAGCCCCCAAGTTTATTCTGTGTTGTAGTATATGTCAGAATTTCCTTCTTTTTCTATTACTAAAGAGTACTCATGCATGTATATATATTTTTTCCTTATCCTTTCATCTGT